AAGTCTCTCTACTTTAATTTTTGGTGAGGAGGAAGAAATTGAATACACAGAGGAGATCTTACAGAAAGTTAGAGAAGTACGTATTATCGAGTTGTTTGTTTATAAATCAAAACCCCACCCAAATCCCAGCAAGTATATTTGTGAGAGTATTCATCTGTACACGCATTAATGAATATTCATACATACATGCATTAATTTGAATGCCAGTTTGAGATTCTTCTCGAAGAGTTCGATCAGAAGGCGCTTAGAGCATATAATGCATATATGGATCTCAACTCTATATTATCACCGGATATGGAGATTGTTATAGATCTTCCCAAACATATCGATAGGCATGCCATTCATCGGTTGACGGGGCTCCCTTATGCTAAGCAACAACGGACCTAGAGATCGACCTCCGGGACCAGCCCCGATAATTCTCTGTGCCAAATTTACATTTTTTTTTGCATTTATAATCGGCTAATAAAAATTTATTAGAAAAATTTTTATTATTCATTACAAAAAAACTTATACAAAAAAATTATAAAATTTTATTGAAAAAATTCACTAAGAGGCACCAAAGAAATGTTAGAAAAACTTTCAGGAATCGTTGAATAAAAAATACCACAAAATCAACCGTCAACAAATATATATATATATAATTAAAATAATATTAATTAATTAAAATGCATTAATAAAGCTTAACTATATTACGTACAAGGATCCCAGTTGATGGGGTTCATTGACAATGATCATAGAAGCACAAGTAAGATTTTATATACACTATTCAAATTATTTCACTTAATCGTAACAATTTATCAAAAAAGAAAAATTAATAATGGCATTTAATTTTTTAGCGCATGCAAACAGAAAGGTAAAAAAAGAATACGATCCAACTTAATATTGACTAATTTATTCGGATTATCTTATGTAACATCAATTGCAAATTTATTGCCTTTCTGACGTAATATTACTACTATAAAATACGTAATCAGCTTAATCAATTAAATCACGCGTACTTGATTACTTTGTGATACGTAGTCAAATTAAGTAAAATTATGCACAAACAACAACAGTTTATGACATATATTAACTGTTGGCGCAGCATAAACAAATGTACTTGCATATCTGTACATGATCATAAAACCATATAAACACGTACAAAAACCTATCTTAATTATTTTTGTTTTGCTTAAAAAGAAGCCCACGTTGCACTTTATTACTATTTGCGTATTCAACTTTCTTTCTACACATCCACCAGTCGGTTCTCATATAAAAAAAGTAACTTGGACCTGATTGATTGGATTGTGTATTACTGAAGTTTTGGTGAGTTTTTGAGTGTAATATAATTCGCACGTTTTTGACCCCGAATTTTTAAAATCGTCCCTGTAACGGCAGTGGAAGGATCCTGATCAATTCGACTTTAAGATTCCCATTCTGACGATCAAAAAAGAATTAATATTCACGGATTAATCTTTTAGCTCCGAAAAATGATGGCTCACAAGTCTCCTGCCCCGTCGCCACCTACCTTCCTCAATGGTGACCATGAACCCGAGCCACTCGTTTATTCGCCATCACCTCTCATCTCTAACGGTATGCTAATTCGTTAATTTTATATGAATTAATTTTAATTTTAATTTTAATTTTAAATTC